CTGATCTGCATCAAAGGACTTGGTGGCTTTCTGCCTCTGCAACTTGATGCCTTTGGCTCTGAGGGTGGGCCTCTAAAACAAGCCTTTCTGTCGGTTTGAGTCTCAGCGCCACTGATGTACGTGCCACATCTGCAGCAGAAACAAATGGTAGCATCCTAAACTGGCTGAATAGATTGTGTCACACCAGGAATGTGCAAAGCTAATAAACATCATTGTACAAGTCACATAATCAATAAACAGGGTGGAGGCCTGGCTGGAACAGTTGCTTATTTCTGCAAGATTTTTTTTTTTTTTTTAATGGAAGGCAGCATTCGGACAGGCATGCTTGTAACCCAAAGTTAATTCTTTGGCTTTAGAAGTCTGCCATTTTGATCAGTTGCCTCTGTGGCTTAGCCCATGTAATACAGAATAAACTGGTAGAATCCTGGATTGTAGGCTATAGTATCAGTGCATATTAAAAAACCTAAAATCAGTTCCGTGCATGTAGCAAATTCTTACAGCAGCCAAGCCTTCTCCAATAGATAGCTTTATTCAGTACAGGAATAGTAACTACATTATTTATTTCATCAACTTTTGTGTTCAGGGTTAGGGTTAGGGTTAGGGTTCAGTCGTGACTCCTGACAACTGCCTGGACTAGTCCCAACAGTTTTCTTGGCAAAATTTCAGAAGTGGCTTGCCCTTGCCTCCTTCCTAGGGATGATGGAGAATGACTGGCCCAGGGTCACCCAGCTGATTTTGTGCCTAAGGCAGGACTAGAACTCAGGGTCTCCTGGTCTCTAGCCTAGTGCCTTAACCACTACTACAGACTGGCTCTCCACTCAACCTATTAGCTGCCTCAATCACTGAAGCAACTCTAGACAGCATACAATAAAAGAACAATTTGAAAAACAGGCTAAACATAGTCAACAACAAGCAAATAAAAATCACCCATGTTGGCAAACAGCGATGCACATAACATAGACCAATGGAGTCATAAATTGCCTGCTCCAGGCCTGTTGAAAAAGCTAGGTTTTCTGGATTTGCAAAGGACCACTGGGTCCGGGCCATACAGACTTTGGCAGAATGCTGTTCCAAAGGACAGGGTTGGCCAGCAAGGAAGCATGGCTCTGGGCTTCCACAGGATGCATTGTTTTGTTAATGGGACCTGGAGCGTACCAACTCTGTCAAATCTTACTGGACGGGCAGACTCAACCGGAGAGAGGTGACTGTAGCCAGTCTTTAATTTGAACTAATCGAGGCATTCATAAGAATATTCACTGAAATCTCTTACCTCCAAGGTTCCATATTCATACATACATATATGATAGGAGAGAGTCAGCTCTTCAAAACCATTTGTTTTGTTTTGCTTTTCTCATTGCAGGAGATTTCAGATGCTTTAAAATGGGTATCTAAACACACGCGCACGCGCACCCTAAAAGCACCATCATCATAAAGCAGTAAGTTGGAGAAGCAATTAAAATGATGAAAATAGCCCTCAGACAGCCAAAATATGATTGCTTATAAGCTAATTGCAGCATAAATCAAGGGCCTGGAAAAATAGACTTCTGCCTCGTGTTGAAAAGTAGCCACCAGGCACGTGTCTCTGGGGTAGGTATTCCAGAGCTGGAGGGCCTCCACTAAGCAGTCCTGTGTCCAGGCACCTTAAAGCTTGTCTTAGGGCACAGGTAGGAAGACGCATTTGTGCCAGAAAGTAGCATGTGAACCTTCGGCTGGGCAGGGAGTTTAAATGTGTCAATCGAGAATTCTTGTTGGAAACTATTTTCAAGCTCATGGTTGCAGCAACTTCCCTGAACTAGTGATATACTAGATTTTTATCTATCCCTGCCCTCACCCAATCTCTGTGTTGGACACAGCTGGAGGGCACCAGGTTGGGAAAGGCAGGTGAAACCACTGGGAGGGGCAGGGAGTTGTCTTGGTCTTTGAGTACTGCAAGGGATTATAAGTGCGTTCCTGAATCTGGATCTGTGTGCCTGGGAACAAAGATGATATCTGATCAGGTTTCTGCCCTAATAAATATGCTGGCATTTAAGGAACCATCGCGCTTGTTGGTCTTAAACCTGTTATGCTTTTAGCGTGTGGCACGTTGGCATGTATTAATACAGAATAGCATTGCGTTTTACTGCCGTGCAGAACGATTTCATGGTTTCCCCATCCTTTGACCAGCCCCCCCTGTTAATAAGATGGGGATCCCTTCCCTGTGGGATGGTAGGTCGCTTAATTAGCTTCCTAGGCTCTGAGGCAGATCATTTTTTTTTTTTAATGGCTGAGGCTCTAGATCTGAAACAAATCAGTGGCAAGAGGCGCTCTCTGGGCATGTGAAGAGTGCTTTCCGGCACTCCAAGAGATCCCAGGCGTCCCTCCCTCCTGGAAGTAGCGAAGGGAGGTTTCCACGCCAAAGGGAGCCGCAGTAGCCGCTCCCGGCCTTTCGGGAACTCGGCCTCCGCTGGCGGGAGCCTCCGGGCAGCTCGTGGCAAGGCGAGGGTTAAAAGGTGCGGCCCCTCCCCCCTCGCTTGTTGCTCTGGAGGTTGGTTCGCCGCCGCCCCCGCAGCCACTTCGGTTTTGCCCAGTGCTGGAGCTGGGCCGTTTCGGGGAGCCGGTCTCCTCGTGATTTTCCGTCGTTTTACCGCCCGCCCCCTTCTCCCCATCCCATCGCCGGGTCTTCTGCGGCAGAG